GTACTGGTGTGTTTTTTGTCTTCCATCCCATAAGAATGCATGCCATCCTATTTGCATATCATATCCTTCCAATGTTAGTAACCTCCTATTCTTTAAATTTATCCATTCTTTCGCCCCTGTGAGTGCAGCTGCTTGATAATATCTTTCCCAATCTGGTAATCCGAATCCTCTTTCTTTGGCTTCTTGTAATAATTTTAGTTTGATTCTGGGCCTTTTCCCCTGCCAAATAGACATTACTTTATCCAGATTTCTAAAGTATTCTTTATCTAATTTTATGGGTATGTTCTGAAATAAAAACAATATTTTTGACAAGATGTTCATTTTTACTGTTGCAACTCTCCCTATAAGGGAGAGTTGCAGCTTTCCCTATCTTTCCAAATTCGCCTTAATTTGATCATTTAGTTTATTGTAATTGTCCTTTTTAATTGTTATACATCTTGCTGTTAGTATTCCTAAATATTTTACTTTTTTCGCTATTTGGAGACTTATTCTCTCTGTCAGTTCCTTTTTCTGTGTTTTAGTCATGTTTTGGTTTTTTCTTTGTTTACCTTCAACCCAGCTACTTCCCCATATTCACCCAGTACTTCCATAAGCCGCCAACCAGATTGTAATGGCTGTTCTATAATAAATACAAAATCACCTGCAAAGGCTTGCAGTTTGTACACTTCTTTCTTAATTTCCAGTACTTTAATTTGTCTTTCCGAATTATTATTATTGTTAATTCCTCTAAAGTTAATATGAATAATAGTGGCGATAACGGACATCCTTGCCTCGTACCCTTCTGAATCTTAAAATTTTGTGTTACTTCCCCATTTATTATGACTCTTGATTGGAGTATATTGCTTTACATATATTTATAAAGTTTTCGCCGAATTCCATATATTTTAACTGTTTCAATATAAAATCCCAATTCACATTATCAAAAGCTTTTTGTGCGTCTAGAAATATCAATGCTACTTGTGTCTCACTATGCACTTCATAGTATTCTAACACATCCAGTATTGTCCTCATATTGTTTCTTATTTGCCTTTTTGGCAAAAAACCATTTTCGTCAAAATTATTCAAATATCTTTTTAGTCTTTCAGCCATTATTGCCATAAATATTTTGTAGTCCGAATTCAGCAGTGATATAGGTCTATAATTTTGGATTAGTGTTAAGTCTGACTAAGTCATAAGAGCCTGATGGTGCAGCAGACTAATAGCCTGTTATTAACATTCAGCTGCCTGCAATTACTGCAAGTTCGAATCTCCCCAGGCTCAAGGTTGACTCAGCCTTCCATCCTTTCTAAGGTAGGTAAATTGAGGACCCAGTTTGTGGGGGCAATAATCTGACTTTGTATAAATATACAAAAGTATGAAGGCTATTGCTTAACGCATTGTAAGCCCCCCTGAGTCTCCGGAGAAGGGCAGCATATAAATCAAATAAAATTTTTTTTTTTTAAAAAAGTCAGTGTTCTCCTTTAGAAGCAAAATAATATTTGCCTCCGCCCATGAGGCTGGTGCCTTTGCTTCTTTTAATACCGCATTATATACCTCAATTAGTATTTCTCTTAAGGATTGTTGTATTTCTATAGTTCCGATGGTAACCTTTCTGTTTTTTAATTGCCTCTATTAATTCGGACATTCTTATATCTTCTTTCAGCATGTTTTTTATCTCTTCTGGGACTTTGGGTAGTTCAGCTTTCTTGAAACTTTGTTGTATTTTTTCTTCTGTACTACCATCATTCTTATATAGTTTTTTTATAGAAATCATGGATTATATTTTTCTTTTCTTCATTTTGGTAGTATATACTTCCCTCTTCATTTTGTAATTTACTAATCCACCTTTTTTCTTTCTGTTTTTTCAGTTTATATCCTAGCCATCTCCCTGACTTATTTGCATTTTCGAAAAAGCTTTGCTTACTCCGCTTTATTTGTTGTGCTAGCTCTTCTTTTTCAAGAATATTCAACTTATGTTTAATCAATTCCATTTGTTGTTTAAAGTCTCCTCTTTGGGGTTCCTTTTGTAGTTGTGTCTCTAGTTTTCTATATTCCTCCTCTAAATTTCCCTGTGGTTGTTTCTTCTTTTTATTTTCTTTGGCCATATATGCAATTGCAATGCCTCTCATAAATGCCTTCACAGTGTCCCATAAATTTTGTATATTGTTGTCTTCTTTTTTATTTTCTTGAAAGAACAAACACATTTGCTCTTCCATCTTCAGCCTAAATTCTTCATGTTTTAGAATTGATCTCTTTAGGGTCCATCTAGTCATTTTCTTTTGTGCCTTCCATCTAATTCCTATTGGGTTATGGTCTGCCCAAAAGTTAGCCTCTATTTCCACTTCCTCCACCTCCACCTCCACATTTAATTCTCTTGACATCCAAGCCATATCAATTCTGGACCATGATTTGTGTCTGTTCGAATAATCTGTAAATTGATTTTTCCCTTGATTTTGCTCTCTCCAGCTATCCTGTATACTCAACTCCTTTTGCCATTTTAAAGAAAGATTTGGATAGTATTTTTCTATTTCCTTTTCTTGCTTTATCGCTTTTATGGTCTAATTTTCTGTCGACTATAGCATTGGAGTCCCTCAAGATGCAAATATCTCCTTCTATCTTCCCGATTATATTATGTAATTTCCTATAAAATTGTTCTTGCCCCACATTTGGGGCATAAATTCCTACAAGTATAACTGGATTGTGATTTAAGATTACTTCTATTATTAAGATCCTACTCTCGTCATCTTTGTATATTTGTTTAGCCTAGATGCCTTAACTGTCCGGTTGCACTATATTATGATGAAGTGTTTTGAGAGATTGGTAAAGGACTACAGTAGAACCTCTGGTCATGACCATAATTTGTTCCATAACTTTGGTCGCAAACCGATTTTGGAAATTTGGCACTTACAAAAAATATGGCGTTGGAAGGGGAAATTGGCCGTGAAAAAAAAATTGTGATTTTTTTGGTCAGAACCCGATTTGGTCATGGTCAGAAGCATTCATGACCAGAGGTTCTACTGTATATGGTTTCATGCCTTCCCCCTACATTTGAGTAATTACAGTTTGCCTATTGGAAGAACTGCTCTATAGATGATGCACTTTCCTGTGTGCTTCACCTTAGCTTGGCGTCCCTGGAGGAGAAGAATACTTATGTGTGAATGCTGTTTGTTGATTTTAGTTTGGCATTCAACACAATCATTCCTCAGCATTTGGTGAACAAACTGGGCCTATTAGGTTTTAATACTCTTTTATGTAACTGGATACTTGATTTCCTTAGTGATAGGCCCCAGTTTCTGCAAGTTGGAAGAAAAGTTTCCAATTCCCATCCCCACAGGGCTCTGTCTTGAGTCAGTTATTGTTCACCTTGACGACCCATGACTGCTGTGCCAAATCTATTACAAATCATATTGTGAAGAGTGCAGATGACACAGCAGTGATGGGTCTTACCTGGGACGACAATGAAAATGCTTATAGGGAAGAGGTGAAGGCTCTGGTGAACTGGTGCAATAAAAGTAACTTGGTTCTAAATGTTAATTTTTTTAAAAAAGGAGATTGTTGCTTTTAGAAAGAACCGGCAAAGTCATACTCCACTCAGAATCGAGGGTTCAGCTGTAGGGGTGGTCAACAGAATTAAGTATCTGGAAGTGCAGATAACTAACCATCTGAACTGGTCTCTCCAAATGTCATTCTGAGTGAAGCGTGCAAACCAGCATCTGCATTTCCTGTATTGGATGAGGAGAGCACATCTTTCTCCTGTCCTGACCACTTTTTACAGAGGCATGAGTGAGAGTGTTTTAACAAACTGCATCCCTGTTTGGTTTGGTGGTGGCAGCACCTCAGGTAGAAAGTTCCTACAGAGAGTGGTGAGGACAGCCAAGGAGGTTATTGGAAGCTCACTTCCCGTTATTCAGGATGCTGCTTATAAGTGCTCTGTGCTTAGAGCTCAAAGCATTGTTAAAGACCCCACACACCCACTTCATGGTCTGATTCTGTTGCTCCCCTCAAAGTATTTCTAGCAGGACTAACAATTTCTGTAACAGCTTTGTTCCCTGTGCCATCCATCTGGTAAACTCGCAAGATTCCTTTCTCTTGCCATGTGCATTTATACATCCAAACTAGACTTTGTTATTTCTCTGTGTCACCTATGTGGGTATGTGGATATGCATATCTGTCTGTCTGTCTCTTTTGTCTGTCTGTCCTTTTTATGTAGTGTCTATTGGAGGTGGTGACCCTTTGAGAACTGTATGCAAATTTCATTTTAATGTATGCCAATTGGTGTACAATTGAAGTGACAATAAAGTTAGTCTAAGTGCAGACCCCTGTGGTGAGGACAGGGAAGGGTCTCTCTTGCTCTGAACCTCCTCCCGCCTTCGTTCCCGGCCTTGGCAGTTGGCTTTTTCTTCTCTCTGTGATCGCTTCCCATGCAGGGGTCCTCTTGATTGGTAGGGCGCCAGGTAAGCTTCCCACCTATGGCTTGAGGGCATTTCCCAGGTCAGAGGTCCCACAGAGTGACGGCCAACCTATTTAACTGCATTGTGGCGAAGGGAAGACCTCTTGTTTTGTACCCCTCGGACACGTGCGCTCGAGATTACACTTAACAATGGCCTTTGTCTTTTGCTGTGTGTCTCTGTGCATGTCATTTCAGCAAAATGGGTAATTGTGTAGGCTATTTATGGAATTTTGTTAGTAGTAGAGGTAGTGTTTTCCCAGTTTTTAATTTTAAAGAAAATGAAATTTAAAGATATAGCAAAATACAAAACCTATAGAGCACTGAAATAAATCTGTGAAACAACACTGGACACCAAGGTGTTGCTCACGCTCTCCCTCCCTCCCTCCCTCCCTCCCTCCCTCCCTCCTGTTTTTAACTCATTCACTCATTTATTTATTCATTCTTTCATTCACGCTTTCGTTTGATTTGTATAGCTCACCTAATTAAAACCACCATGCTGACAAAAATAACCCCCCCAAAACAGGATACAGATGTCAGTTAAAATAAAAACAACTTGCTTGTTTTCTTGCAGACATGTCACTACCTAGACTAGGTAACATCATCAGTGCACTACAAGAAAACGAGAGAGCACAGAGAGCACCAAGGACCCCTCATGTCAACCCTGAGCTACAGATATTCTCCTTTATTAATAAAAAGATGAGGACCAGCCTTCAGATGTTACCTTGACTTCACCATCCTTGGTCAAACTTTGGCTATTTGCAGGCTCTTAAGAAATAGAATAAGCAGTAATTTTTGCTTGTCTCTTTTGTGGTTTACTTAGCCCAATTTCCTGTATTAGAGGTTGCAAACCAAGTTGGTTGTAGCCACTACAAGTGAGAACCATTATGTATAGTAACTTGTAACTCTGTCTCTTCATTTAATTTAGCATATTGTCTGTCTATTATGCAATATTTATTATATATTTTATTTGTTAATAAAAAATTATGTCAGGTTTAGATTACCTTTGAAACTTGTTATTGGGCCTTTTGGCACTAATAAAAATGAATTGATATCTTGTCAGATCATAAACGGAATATGAACTGCGTTGAGACGCTAGTGCAAAAATGCAAATGGCATCCTTGGCTGCTTTGTCAGAAATATCAGGTCAGGTTTGGGTGAGATCTTCATTTCTCTCTATTCTGCTTCAGTTATGCCATACCTAGAACACCACATCAGTTTTCGGCATCTAGTTGAAGCAGACAGTGTGGGCCCTGAAATAAAAATACAAGGGTCCTTGAGTTACAACCGTGAGTGTAAATTGGAATTTCTGTTGCTAGGTGACTGAGTCACTTATGGCTGTCCCGGCTCGCCCTATTGCCGTTGTTAACCCAATTCCACCAATTGTTAGGTAAAGACCCATTCTGATCAAAGACACTCCCAGCTTGGCCCTTCCCTTCCCTGGGTAAGACAATGGGCTGTCCCCTCTTTGACTCTTCCCCAGCCCCTGTGTCTCTGCCCTGTCTCTATCCCTTGGGCTGCCTCTGCTGGCCCTGCTGCCCTTTGTGGTCTTCCTCCCTCTGCCGATGAGGGGTGCCCTGCCAGGCCCAGTGCGAGATGCCTGCCGACTGCACCAGGTCCTCTTCCCGAGGCTGCCTTTCCCAAGGATCGTTGGAACAGCCACTGCAATTCGGAGAGCAGCAGGTGTATCCTCCTCTCCAGGCTTACGAGGCCTCAGCAGTCTTCTGGGAGGAAGAGGAGGGCCAGAGGGCCCTCAGGAAGGAGGCCTCCTGCAGCCGGCAGCATCCCTGCAGAGAGCCAGGCAATCCAGTGGGCTTGTCAGCTCAGCTGGGTTTTTTTTTTTTAAATTTGATTTATATGCCGCCCTTCTCCGAAAACTCAGGGCGGCTTACAATGCATTAAGCAATAGCCTTCATCCTTTTGTATATTTATGCAGTCAGCTTATTGCCCCCACAATCTGGGTCCTCATTTTACCTACCTTAGAAAGGATGGAAGGCTGAGTCAACCTTGAGCCTGGTGAGATTTGAACTTGCAGTAATTGCAGGCAGCAGATGTTAATAACAGTGCTTTAGTCTGCTGCACTACCAGGGGTCTGTTAGCACAGCAGACTCAGGGTTGGTGGCTGGGTGGCAAAGGGCCAGCAGGCACAGGGCAACAAGGCCGGAGGGACCTGCGGAGCAGAGGGTGGCAGTCGGATAGCTGAGGCTTGGCACTGACTGGATGTAGGGTGGCACTGAGCCTGAAGCAGAGGCCCAGGAGGTGGTGGGGCAGCTGTCTGAGACTGCCAAAAGCCCCAAGCACCTGCTTTAGTCCCAGAGCCGCCTCAGCCACCGAGAAGTGTGCCACCATGCAGGAGGCCAGATGGAGGGGGGGAGTTGAAGTGCTGTGACGGCCATAACTTTGGGGGCAGTGCCACCATAACCTCCTCAATGAGTGGTCGTAAAGTGGACGTGTTCTGCCCGGAGAAGTCTGTGGGGAGACATGAAAGGTGTCTGAAGTTGTGTAGTTAGTGGAGGATGTGTTTCCTTGCAGATACTTACTTAAATATGGGTGGATGAGTCTGGGCGGCCATTTGTCATGGATACTATGATAATGGATATTCGTGGAAGACAGGAGTAGATCTTGCCACCCCTCCCTCTGCCCGGCTAAAAATCCCAAGAACCTGCCCGGTGCCCAGGAAAAGAATCAGATCCTGCCGTGCCTTGTGAAAAGAATGAATGGCAGGATTGGGGCCATCCAAATTTCCGGAGTATTGTTGTTCTGAAGGAGGGCACCACCATAGAGAAGGCGTCCCTCTTGAGTCTTGTCAGATGCTACTGTTGACTGGAGGAGGGCTGGGCAGCCCTCAAGTGGAGAAAGCCATCCCTGCAAATGGCCCATGGATCCAGTGCCCCGAAGGGCTCTATGGGTCACAGGCAGCCCCGGCACGGCCTCCTGGAAGACAGGGTGGATGTCCCAGCCATAGTCACTCCTGATGTCTCTCCAGCCCCACTTCCAGTCAAAAAGACCATCTTTTAATAAACTCAGAATAGAGATAATTAGGATTTCATGACAGAAAGAACTAAGATGGAAAAGGAGGCTTTAGCCTTAGAAGGATGATGGTATAGGGTTTCCTGCCTGAGCAGACGGTTGGATTAGAAGATCTCCAAGGTCCTTTCCAGCTCTGTTATGCTGTTGGTTGTGTTTTAAGGAAAAAGAGAATAAAAATGCATGATGCACTTTCCACTTAATAAAGATGAATTCCACCCCGTCCCTGTGAAAGGGCCAGGAGGAGAGCAGTAAAGCAGAGAACCGCAGTGGCACAGTGCTCATAATGCAGTACTGCAGGCTACTTCTGCTGACTGCCGGCTGCCAGACGTTTGGCAGTTCGAGTCTTACCAGCTCAAGGTTGACTCAGCCTTCCATCTTTCCAAGGTCAGTAAAATAAGGACCCAGATTGTTGGGGGCAATTTATGCTGACTCTGTAAATCGCTTTGAGAGGGCTGTCAAGCACTGAAGTGGTATGTAAGTCTTAAGTGCTATTGCTTTCGATTCCAGCTTTCTGGTTGGGACAGATTATCCTCATCCCAAACGCATAGCCTGAACATTAATCCTGCTTTTTCAGCAGTGATAAATAATATTTTTAGTGCTGTTTGCCTGCTGAAATGGATCTCTGGAGGTCTGCTCGTGCTGACGAAACGTTTCCTGGCTTGCCTTCCTCACCCGCTTCCCTTTCAAAGTGGCTTCAAGACAAGTGGCCCTCAGTTTCCTGAGGCCATTCTCCCTTCTCTGCTTGGAAGCCACCGACCGTCTGGCTCCCAGGCCTGAAGAAGCCTTTCTGGTCTGCTTGGAGGAGATGCCCGTCAGGATGGACAGGCTCCTCCATCCTTGCCAAGGGTTGCTCCTTCTTCGAGGAAAGGAACATTCTCGCCCGCAGTAAATTGCTGTCCTTTTGCTCCAGCGGGACAGAGTTATCTATAGAAACAAAGTGTGGAGATCTGAGCACTGGGTAAAAAATATAGCACGTAATCAGTAGGTACGGCTTGCCATGGGGACCAGAGTTGGATCTGCTGGGAACTGCCAGATGGGAAGGTCCTGCCAGGGTGTCTGCAGAGGGCTTGGTTCGTCTGTGGTTTTTCTTTTTCATCTGGCTGTGCCTTAAATAGAGCTGTTGGGCTGGTAGGTGAAGTCTAGCTGCCTAAAATAATCCCATGGAACAGTTTCAGAAGAGATGCTTCCTGTAGCCAGTCCCAAGCTTAGCCAATCACCTGCAGCTGACCTTATTCTAAGCTTTGGCCTAAGGCAGGGGAAGGCTCTTCCCTGCAGAGAGGGCTGCGGCCCCTCAGCCCTGTCCGGCTGAGCAGTTTTCTTTGGGCTGTCCGCTGGCTCTGATCTCATGGAAATCTCAGTCTTTAAAGTCGGTGCACAATTACTGAGGTTGTTACACAACTGCCAAGAGAGGCTAAGCTTATTAGAATGCAGCCAGTAGTTTGACCCAGTGGTTCTGGGATTGGCTGGGTTATAAAATTTGGGATTAACAGAGATCAGAGACCAACAACCCACTGCCGCAATTATGATGCAGGTTTACTTTCTGCTGATATACAGTGAGTACTTTGGCTATTCCTTATGCACAATTTATAGCCTGAGTGGCGTAGGAGGCTAATGCTTCCTACTAAGGCAGCATTTAACATCCAGTTGCCTGCAATTACTGCAAGTTCAAATCCCACCAGGCTCAAGGTCGACTCAGCCTTCCATCCTTTCTAAGGTGGGTAAAATGAGGACCCGGTTTGTGGGTGCAATAAGCTGACTTTGTATAAAATATACAAAAGTATGAAGGCTATTGCTTAACGCATTGTAAGCCGCCCTGAGTCTCCGGAGAAGGGCAGCATATAAAAATAAATAAATAAAATAAATAAATAAAATAAATAAATAAAAATAGCCGTAAATATTCTGTTAAATTTCAAATGCTGGGAACGTAGCATGACCAAGTACCCAGATCCATAAAACCCATTTCCAGCAGAGATAAGCTCCCACAGCCAAAAGGTGGTGCTGAAGACCTGAGAAATAAAAAGGGGTTAACCATTTTTAACCTATAAGGAGAGTAGATGCAGTTCCCTCCTCCAGGTTAGGCATGGGCCTAGTACAGGGGCTGCCACCTCACCCAGGTCCCATGAACTTCATAGAGAGGGGCAACTAGGCAGGCCTTGTTGAATAGGCCAGATTTGGCAAGGCTGGGCCTGGGAGATGGCAGGGCTATGCTGATGGCCCCTTAAGTAACAACTAGTGCTTTGAACTGGATTCAAAAGCTAACACAACAACCTCAAATTTGGCTTTGCTCCAGCAGTGGGCTTGTTCCTCCAGCAATCTGGCTGTGATATTCTGGGCTCATTGAGCCTTTTGGATCATCGCTAAAGGCTGCCCCAGGCAGTCACTTAGGGTTGCCATTGAACACATCCTAGTCCAGATTTCAATAAATCGGGCAAATGAAAGTCAAACCTACTTCAGCAGAGCTAAATTAATGAGGGGCCCTTTTTGTTCCTATTTCATAATCATGAAGAAAATCACTACTAAAATAATCACAACTATGCCCACATCCCAATGTTTTCTAGGTGTAACTTGCAATGTTGAACTTCTTCCCAGAAATGATTCCTGTAGGGCAGGGGTCCCCAACTCCCCAGCTACCATCATTTTATTTCAGACGGGCCCAGTTTGAGAAGGCAAAGCATCTAAGTAAAAAAGGAAGTCAGTCTACAAAATTGGTCCTGCTGAGTAGAGGGCATATTAGGAGAGCCTTAAAATGTCATTTGGGATATTGAAGAATCCATGCATTGTAAAAATTAATGAGGCCAACTTATAAATTCATGCTGGATGTGCAGTAATCAAAGGGAAATGGGAAGAAATTGGTTTTTCTACCTATGAAGCGAGTGGAGGGAAGAGAGGAAAGGAGACTAAGGCCAGAGCTGCCTGAATCACTTTTGCCCTTGTTCCGTCTTGGTTTCTCATATTCTCAGCGATCACC